GAAACGATATTCGCGAGACTGGAAAGTCGTCAAGATCCAATCGTATAATTATCAACAAGACTTACTTGAATGTTGGAATGCAAATTTTGATAGGAATGCTATACGGCGTATTGGTATCAGAGAAAACGATTTGAGCAAATGACATACCTCCATCGTAGAGTGTGGCGGGTATCTGACAAAGTCGGCTTGATCGTGGACGTCGTTTCGAGTGTACTGGAGGCGCTGCTGAGCATGATAATACGTGGTATCAGAGGAAATGATTTGAATGAACGACATACCTCCATCGTAGAGCGTCTGACAAAGTCAGCTTGATCGTAGACGTCGTTCTGAGCGTACTGGACGCGCCGCTGAGCATAATAATACGCGTCTTGATCATAACAGTAGGCGCTTTCGGGGAAGCGAGGCGTGACATAGGTAGGAAAAGCGCGTTGGTAAAAGTAGTAAGATTGCATCGTTTCGGTTGTAGTAGAGATTCGAGAGTAAGTGGCAGTTGAAAAGAGAGTCTAGTCGTGACCGCGTCATGTTTATATCCCTTGTTTACATCATGGTCTGAGCATAGATTGTCCCTTTGTGATTGTTCGTCGAGTGGCAATTACTATATCTGGTACTTGTCGTGGGACTTGGTGCTGAAAGTGATTGTTCTCGTGTTATACTTGAGTGGCGCCGGTGCAATGAGCCCTTATAGCAGGAGGATAAGTTTCAGAGAAAGACATTCGAGTCCAGACAATGTATTAGAGACACGGCGCCTGTTACCGAACCTTGAATACGGTATTGCTATTCTCTTCACGGAAATGTATCTTGCTGTAGAAATAGAAAATCGAATTAGATCAGAGTACATCCTCCATAGATCGACACGTAAAGACCGACCAGCTACCTACGACAGTAGAAAAACGAAACAAAACAAACGAGCGAAAAGTTTTTACGAATAAAAAACGCCTACAACAACTCGAGCCCAAAATCCAACTGCTCCTTTGGCGCCGACTCTGACTCTGACTCTAACTCTTGAATCTCCTCCACCTCCTTTTCCTCACTCCGATGCACATCCCACACTTTTCCCGAAACCAAAACGATTCTCTCCAGCGTAGGACAATGTCTCATCCACAACCCAACATGATGCCTTTCCCTCTCTGTCAACGGCGCATCCCTCACCTCTTTTTCCTTTTCCTCTCTCAAATCCATCTCCTCCACAATCCCCTGAATCACCTCCTTCTCCTTCTCTTCCTCATCCACAGACCTCAACTCGAGCGCAGACCTCGACTTGACTATGGGTGGATTTGCGAGTACGAATAACGAGTCTTGTTTTCCATTGATAGTCCTAAAAGTCGGTGTGACAGGAGTAAGCCGAGATCGTCCAGCGTGGTGAATGACAGCGTCTGCAGCGCTCATTATCGACATGGCAGAAGAGTCGGTTGATAGTAACGAGAAACGAGCGGATTTGCTCGAACTGTCGATACTGTTTCTTGTGTCTGTTGTAGCTTCACTATTAGCGGTGATAGAGGTAGGTGTAGGCGGGACAAGAGTCGCTACGGGTAATGGACTTGAAGGAACTGGTATAGGCGACTTTTTACCAGCCTGCTTTTTCAGATTCTTCAAACTCGGCAACCTACTCAATCTCGCCGATAGACTCTTCCCACTCTTACCCTTTTCCGGAGTAACCAGAGGAGGGAGCGCAGGGACAGGTGGAACATCTCCATCTGTATACCCAGGTTTCAGAGGACCCAAATGCGGAGAATGGACAGTTCCGAATGTAGACACGGGGGAAAAGTACCCCGTCACGGTAGACGTTGGAGAAAAATACGAATCAGAGCCCGAGCCTGAACCATTAGGTTTGTCTTCGTCGTCTGGTTCGACGGCGGCGGGGGTAAGGTCTGCATCGTGGTCGTGTGCTACGGTCTTGTCCTCCTCGTCGACTGGTGTAGACGCGTCCACTCCCTCAGCAGATTCCGACTCGTTATTCATCATGTACATTGAAATCAACCTCCCATCCGCTCCCAACGTACTATACACCGAAGACCTCTTGCCTTCATCTGACGCTAAAGACAAGGGAGAAGCTGGAGGAACGGGAAAGAGAGCCAACGAAACTGTAGACGCGGTCGCTGTCGGTGTTGGAGGGAGGTAGTTGTATACGACGTCAATGTCTTCATTCGGATGATAAAAGTGGGATTGAGCAGCTGAAAGCGAACTCGTATGTGAAGGAGCGAGAGAATAAGTGGTACTAGCCAAACTGGCTATACTAAATCGGTTTTGGTTGTATGCGGGGCTGGTTGGTGGGGAAAGGGTTGCCGACGAGTCGTTATTAAGATTAGGATTAGCTTGTTGTTGAAGATGGGGGTAGGAAGCAGCAGTGGGCGTAGGCACCGAGCTCTGGGTAGGGGTAGTTGTGTTGGATATTGATGGTGAAAGGGTATCTTCATTTTGTGGGGTATCTTGGTGCTCGTTGAGAGCATTTTTGTTTTTGTCCGCGTCATCCACTGTTACTTTTGGCGTCGTGCCTAGAGAACAGAAGTTAGGACTGGCACGAATAAAGACGAGACACGCACCATCACCCTCCTCTCCATCAGAAACCTTGAGTATCAACGTTCTCAGCCTCCTATAGCGCGGGATAACCATCGAGATAATCTTGTAGAGCACCTGTCAAGTTTCGTCAGTATGTAAAAGAAGGGACATGACGCGACAGACAGCCGTAATGGGAATGATGATTTCCAAATACAGATTTCGGCGGTCATAGGGAACAAGGCACGAAAGGAAAACTCACTTCATCAGTCTTGCTTCCATTCCACTCTGGCACGCTCACCTCCAACCCCTCCAGTTGAGCCCCAACACCTCGCAAAACCTTTTCAACCGACCTCTTATCGACGCGATTCGCAAACGCCAGCCTCAGGATATCCAACTCTTTCTCTGCAATCAACTTGAGAAACTCTTTGATTCCGTCCTCCCACCAACACTTGTCTAGACTGGTTCCTACTTCCTCGATCGTGTCCCTCCGATGTGGTACGAGCAGATTGAGGATGGCTGGTGGGGCATGAAGCGTACGCAACGACGGAAGAAGAGTCTGTGATTGGGTTATATCCATCAAGGAATTGAACATGTCGAGGGGTGAAGGGGAGAACGGGGACGACGGTGAAGACGGTGACCGCGGGGAAGGTGCAAACGGGACAGAAGGGGGAGAAAGGGTCAACGTCGGAGTCGAGACTGGTTCTTCGAAAGCAGTCTTGAAGGAAGACGGGGAAGAAGGGTAGCCTGCTGAACCGGTGCTCACAGTACTCAGCCTCGACCCTTCAACTTCTTCTTCCAACTCGACCTCGGCATCTCCGAGCTTCAACACTTTGATATTCACCTGCCCATCCAACCACCTAAACATGTCGAGGAGGGTCTCTGTATCCAGTTTTGGACGGAGAAACGCGACCTCTTGCAGATTAAACGCACTATGCCATTTGAGGAGGCCCTCGGAGTAACTCGGGAGTGTCAACGAGACGAGAGAAGACATGAGTGACATCGACAGAGCCAAAAGAGAAACAAGTCTTGAATCGGAGGGACGGTCCGAATCACACTCAGGCACCTTGAGCACTCTTGTCGTCGACTCTAGCAGCTGTCTTCCCCTCGGAGCCGCGACAAGCCGAGATAGAAATTCTTCGAGCTTGTCCACCTTTGCTCCGGATAAATCCATCTCTGCAATCAACACCTCTTCCACGACACCTCTAAACACTCTACACGTTCTCCCCAGTCTCGCAACAAGCGCACGAGGGAGAAAAGACAGGATATGCGTTAAAATGGTGGGAGGAAGGGAAAGGAGAGTGAGATCCTTGGGAGGAGGTGGAGGCGGACCATGGAACAACTCTGCAAGCGGCGACTTTGGCAACGTCGCCAGCGCAGGAGGTTTCGGTAACACCAACGCCTGATTCGAGTGTAACGGGGGAGTGGATATAGATGACGAACGAGAGACGGTAAAGAGGTTTGCAAAAGGGGCAGAGTCTTCTTCTTTCTTTTCCCAAAAAACATCGTCTTCCTCCGGCAACAACTCTCCTTCAACTGCCCGTCCCAAATCCGACGGACGCCGAATGTCGTCTATAGAATCCGACTCTGACGTTGGTGATAACGGCAAGTCATTGGTAGTAGATTCCCGTCTACTACTCCAAAACCCCCTCGTCTTTTCCTTGTCCTTGTCCTTTCCCGGTGAAAACATGGCAGAAACCCTCTTCACTTTGATCCTAGCCATCAGTCCCTCTCCATTCACCGAAGTCGATCCACCACTCGTCTTTCTCTCCCTCTTTTTCCCAACAATCCCTCCAGAAGATGTCTTTGAGAATCCCTCCAACGACTTGGACGGCCTCGGTTTCGTCTCTGTGGATAACGAGATTTTCGTTCTTGGCTTTGATTGAGAAGCTTGGTATTGCGAAAGCGCAGCATGGAGAGACGCTGCTCCACTACTCCCAGAATGCGAACTGTGCACACTGGGAGTAGTAGTCGTCGTGTAATGGCCTGTAGCGCTCGACGAGAGAGAGTTGGTTCGGGTGGGGGTCATGTCTCCTGTTTCCTCCAGAAGGAGAGAAGGAAGAGAAGAGTACAGTAATCGTCACACGTGTCAAAGTAGTGTATTCATATTCAAATACGTACGATCGCCTAACTATTATAACGTTGCTTTGGAGACCGTCCATCACCGACAGACTACGCATGTCCCAGCTCTGTCTCGACTCCCAAGTACACCTCTGAGATGGATCATTGGGTCCACATCTTTGTTGACATCATTCTATTCAAAACCCGGAGATCTTTTCATCATATCAATCTCTGTATCAGTCCAGTGTCCAGTGTCTTTCTCATGTCGTTCTTCGGTCACACAACGCCGCTCCTTCTCCCGTCACCCCTCTTACTTGCATTAAACTTTAACACGCCACCACATGTACTCTCACTCATCTCCGCATCTTCTAGAGCACGGAGTGCGGAAGTCGGCTTTTTCATTCTCCATTTTCAAATTTCGGTATTAGCTGAATTTCAAATGTGTCGGCCTGATGGTCTAGTAGTATGATTCTCGCTTTGGGTGCGAGAGGTCCTGGGTTCAATTCCCAGTCAGGCCCTGGCGATTCGATCGTGATCTTTTACATTTTTGACCAAGTAACAAATACCAGTGTTTGCTCATATTACTTACTATACTTACAGTCAAATTTCAACGCAAAACTTCCTTTTCCAGACTTTGAGAACCGTCAGGATTTTATGTCAATACCCTGTTCTCAATGACAGACTGTCCAACTTTGACGGCTTTCTATGCCGTAAATAACCCCGCTGCTTCTCAGACTTTCCGTATCCATCATATCATATCTCATATCATCGTATCAATCATTACCTGCCCAGTCCAGTCTCTTTCTCACATCACTTCAAGACAGCTCTCCACTTATCCCGAGTTGTCTCTCTCGATCACACAATACGAGTCAGCTCGCGATTGAACCTTGACACGCCACCACATATGGCGCAAGCACAGTCTCTCCCAAGTCATCTCTGAATCTTCTGGTGTATTTCCAAGAGCACGGAACGCGGGAGTCAGTTTTTTCGTTTTCCATTTTCCAATTTTGGCGTTACATGACTTTGTACTCTAGAAAATCAGAGAACTTGGTAGGTCTGATGGTCTAGTAGCTTTGGGTAACGTTTCAGCTGCTGGTATATGCGAGAGGTCCTGGGTTCAATTCCCAGTCAGGCCGTACAAAATTTGTACAAGTGCACATATTTTTGATATATTGGTTCATTTGTTATTGGGCTTCATTTCAATTTCAAATTTTGCAGTCGGTAAATATATAGATACTATTCTCTATCCTTCACTTGGACTCCTTTGCAAATCGTTGGAACCATCTTACAACCGAGCTAGCGCTTTCTTCTTTTGCCCAACCTATATTTCCATTTATCAACCAGTATTCTTTGCACGAAATAGATTAAAACTTACGAGCATCATTATCGTTTGGATCTCCCCTCGTAGCAAACCCGTGCGCAACGCCAGAAAAGACGTGAATGCAATATTGCGCTTTGGCTTGAACAAGTAGATCTTCAGCTCGTCGTCGAGCAGGAAGGGGAAATGTCCAGTCGGACTCTAGTCTGAAATTATTAATTCACACGAGACAACGAATTTTGAAAATTACTCGCCCGCGCAGGACATGAGAAGAGGTTCTTTCAAGGAAAAGATATCAATCAGTGAGTCAACCAAATCATTAATTATTCACTTTTAATATTGCTAAAATGATCCTCATTCAACAAAGCAGGATGTGCAAATGCTCCTGTGGAAATTGTGACGTCCTGTTTTAACACGAGGAATTGGGAACACATACCAGCAATAATCGCATCAGAACTTGTCGCCCATTCCAATACATACGGTGCACCAAAACAATAACCTCGTTGTAGTTTAATCAATGTTTCTGATATTAGACAAGGTGGAATACATACCCACAGCACAGTATTTTGCGTCTGATCCTGCACAGGAAAAAAATTGATAACAACTCAATTCTACAACTGCATCACATACCATACTTCTCATTTACAGCACTAAACCATTTCGGTACTGATTCATCAGCTACAACCTTCTTCTTCTGAACCCATGCCATCCGATCAAACCCCGCTTCATTGTCATGCGTGTCCACAGTATCTCCAAAGAAGTAATCCGGGCCCACAACGAAGAAATCTATAAACATCGAATCACCGTAGGACTTTTTCTACTGGTACTTAAAACATACCATTCGCAGCAAAATAATCCTGTATCAATTTAGCATTATTCGTAAAGGGCCCCCAGATATCCGGCATAAAGAGTATAACAGACTTGGTACCACCATTAAACGACGAGGGCTCTGAAACGTAGCTCTCGACCCCTGCAAACATCTCTGCACGCCCAACAGGGGTACCTGAATGCTTTACACCTCGTGTAAAGCAGCAATCGCCTGGGGAGCCAGCAAGAACGTTGGAGGTCATGACGACGTGATGGGAGGGAACACGGGGAGGAAAGATGTATACACTCTTTTATAAATGTTATCGTGTGTCGGCCGCGGTCGTTTGACCAAGGCGAATCCTCTCACACTGTGATTCTGAGGTCAGTTACCACTTTATTACCACTTGACATGTTCTTATTATAGTTCTTTCAGACTATCATATGCTCATAGCTATAATAAGGCTATCTAGAAATTGAATTTACAGGCCAGATTGTTTATTAATATTACCATGTCATATCTTGTGATTGGATCTTATAACACCGTCCCCAAAATTCGAATTCACTTCTACTGAGAGCCGCAAGCTGTTGCCGGTTGGCTGCCAAGAAGATCTGCCAACTTCGATGATTCAATGTTGCCAGTCTCCAGTCATGCAGATCATGGCTTGCCGCCTGTAACGCAGCGAGTGAACAATTTATTCAGTTGGTATGCATCGGTGATGGAAAAGGAAAATTGCCAGAAGGATAATGTGCTCGGCAATAAGAGCTGAAAGCAGAACAAAAGCCATGGCCCATGAAAAAGCATCAAAATATCAGAACTCTAGAAACAGCTCCAAAAATAGGCCGAATCAGATTTCTGATGCGAATCCGACATAGGTGCCCTCCCTTTTCCAGTATTTCAGGAGAATTTTCTGAAGTACTTCTGAGAAACTATAAGTATCTCAATTTCCGCCCACCGGATTGGTTCTCTAACATATGCACAATTTAGGGATACGGATTTGTTCTGTTTTGTTCAGGTGCTGTGCAATCATGGGGTGACCATCGTTTCATATATAAACTCGATAGATTTCTCCACTGTCAAAGGTAAATGCGCTTGCTCAGAACGTCCCCAGAACCCTCGTCTGATCCCGGCATCCAACCTTATCGATTGGAAGAGGTCTTGAACAACGAACAAAAGCATTATGCTATTCTTTCTCATAGATGGGAGAGCGAAGAAGTCCTGTTTCGAGACCTCCATGCCAGCCCCCAGCAGACCACACAGAAACATGGCTATCTGAAGCTTGTTGACTCATGCAGGATTGCCCGAGAAAACGGCTTCGACTATATTTGGAACGATACATGTTGCATCAATCAAGAGAACAGCACCGAACTTTCCGAAGAGCTTAATTCGATGTTTTCTTACTATGCCGATGCAACTGTATGCTACGTCTACTTGAACGACGTATCTGCAAACCAGGTAGCTATGGGTGAAGGCATTCTTCAGGAAAGTAAGTGGTTCAGCAGAGGTTGGACACTTCAAGAGCTCTTGGCACCGACCTCTATAATCTTTTTTGACCGGGACTGGAAGAGGGTTGGGACAAAAGCCACTCTATGTAAAACTATTTCCAAGATTACTGGGATACCCCCTGGAGTCCTTCTTGGACATACGGCTCTCGCAGATGTCACTATCGCACAAAGGATGTCCTGGGCCGCGCATAGAAAGACTAAAAAAGCAGAAGACATCGCCTACTGTCTCATGGGCATCTTTGGCGTACATATGCCAGTATTGTATGGCGAAGGGGAGACTAGAGCGTTTTTACGGCTCCAAGAAGAGATCATCAAGTACAACAATGATCCAACAATATTTGTTTGGAAATCGCAGAGGAAACATGCCATCTTCCAGCGTGGTCTGTTAGCATGGTCTCCTTCTGAGTTTGTTAACACGGCCAATGTACAAGCATTGCCCAGCGCAATGTTTACCAGCCACACAATGACAAATCGTGGAATCCTTATTACTTTACGTCTACGAAACTTGTCGCAATCTAATATGTCCCTTATCACGATGCTGATCCTACCCGTTTTTTCTTGGGCTTTCATCAACTTTTGTCGTCAAATGGTAGGAGACCCTAATGGCCATGGTACATTGTTATCTCTTCCTCTGTTTTTGGCACTCTATCCTTTACTAAGTGTGGGACCACGGTGGGGTCTTAAGGTTTTGCTCGCACGTTTCTTCTCCCATCTAGCATCCTGGCACGGTTCTCAGGATCCAGAGCTGTTTACCAAAATCCTCCTATTTCTCCTTTCATTTGCCTTAGTTGCTTCCCCTGCCAACATATCATATGTCTGTGGTAGCCTGGTCGGAATAGCCCTTTTATATTCCTCACTTACGGGAACTGTATCTCCAAATGCATGGCAGCCAGCTGATGCATCTGTACATGCTCGACTTCCCTGTCGAGATGATCGACATCAAGCCATCGAGATCAATCTGACCAAAAGGACGCGGGATAATGACTGGGCTAGATCAAACCCAGATCAACTACATTATGTTGCTGATGGGAGACTTCATCGCATATGGAGCTCCTTCCAATACCAGAAGCACACACTCTATGTAGCAGAGGAATATCTTTCGTCAAAGCAGAGAAGGTTCCAGTCACAGGCCAAACCTGCATGGAGAATTAAGGTAAGCAATGAGGAGTTGCATGTGTTGGATAGGTTTTCCCGCACCGGAGAGATAATTTGCTTTCAACTTGAGGGGAATCGGTTTGTATTCAAACTTGGTGTCAATACAGCCAGTATGTTCTCTTTTGAACCAGAACTAAGCAGTAAATTGATTAGATTATACAGCTTCAGCATCATCTACAAGTTTTGCAGTTGCCTTTGGAGTCGAGAATCATGTATGGGTCGACATTATAACAGACATGAAAGAAGACTTGCAACAAATTCATGACTCTTATGACAATTTTGATAACCGGGCAGATGTTTGCATGCGGGGCTTAGATGACCTGTCCCGTCCTTTGGGTGACAGACAGTTACAAGTTAACACCCGATACATCCCAAGTCAATTGTTATGCGAGGAAGAGGACTGTTCACTGAAGCACAATCATTGTACTATTGCAGTTGACATTGATTTTGTTAGACCAGGAACTGCAAGAAGGAGCCTAATCGATGCACTTCCTATTCCCACTCTGTGTGGTCTCGGTATCATCATTCAGAATAGAAACATGTTCCAACAAGGCATACAGTTAGCATCGTCTCCCAAGACTTTTCTTAGTGATACAATGGATCCTTATGCAGGATATCTTGCTTTCAACCATGAAAAGACATCTGGCGAGCTGATATTTAACAGGGGAGAGACGCATATATTTTCCTTGGTGTTCGGGATTCAGGATTGGGAACCATGGGTAGAAGTCAAATCGTCATTGTGGTTCATGTCAATCTTGAGGCCGAGTTCATGGATAAGCAGGGGGAATCAAAGGAGGCATAGAGGAATGTTTAGCTGGTCAATTGGGAAGCTTGATATCGCCGTGGAATTCACAAAGCCTGAGAGACCTACTCCTAGGTCAATCACCCATATCGCAACCATTACTATCTCATGCCATTGTCGCCACCGATATTATTTTGCTTTATCTGATAAATCTCGTGAATTGTTGACAATCAAACTGCAAGATCCAGAAGCATAGTCCCATTGATTTTTTCTTTCTTACAGCTAGGATACAATACGGTGGTGTACCCACAGGGTTACCTTATGATTATTTATGGTATGTTTATGTGTACTCGAAAATAAAAGAAATTAGTCTCAAGTGACAGATACGCCATATCGGTCTAATCATACAGCCATTGCCAGTGAGCAGGATAAGCAAGGATGAGACCTCACATATGTTGGGCCTCATAATCACATACTTCATCGGTTGGAATCACAGCCTCCCATCATAAGACACTCATCTGACACGCATTTTTGCCCAACCCCTGGAGTTCCGTATTTTATATAACAGTGTTGATTCCCCATGAACTCCACCACTTTGCCCTATCACAACT